TCATGAATAAATAAAATCTTTAAAGAAAAGTTTTCTTTTTTTCATTCTGATCACTCTTCTTGTTTTCTGCATATTTTGGCTTAATTTGCTCATCTGTTTTTAGTTTCTTAAGGTAGTTCTTGCTTTTTTTTAAACTGTGAAGTGGTTTGAACGTACAGACACTTAGAGGGGAATCACAGCGGACCCAACATTTTATTTGTTTGCTTTTTAAAGTAGATTCTGTGCCCAGTAAACACACACATGACCCCGAGATCAAGAGTTGGATGCTCTACTGACTGAGCTGGCCAGGCACCCCTGATTTGGTTAATTTATCTTAACTGTTGTGTAGTATTCTATAATTAAATATACCATTTTTTAATGTTTCTTTAATAATCCTAATATAGGTCATTTCTCATTTTTGCAGTGATAAAGGGTGTAAAAATGAACTTCTTTTTGCATTTCTCCTTGACAACATAGGTTACAGATTCTGTATAGTGTATGCCTAGAAATATAATTGCTGGGTTAAGTAATATGAATTATTTTCAACTTTATATTGGCATATTCCTCTTCACAGCAGTTGTGCTAACTTCTGTTTCTACCAATAAGAATGAGGATTTCCATATCAGGAATAGTATTTGGGTGTTAGTACTGGAACCTGTTAGTGGGTTACTGAGTTTGTGGTTTACATTGTTAAGGTTGTCCTGGTGGTCCAGGTTGGCTCGTGTAGGTCAGCTGTAATGTCCACACAAAGGAAGAGAAGTGGGAAGAACCAAAAGGCTGTTCTGCAATCATCAGCCGACTGTGTTGACATTTCACTGGCTGCCCTTCTCTACATAAGACTAGGATATGTAGTTTCAGCTGGGCATGTTGTAAATAACAAAGAGGAGGTGGTTGTTGGGCAACCCAGAAACATTTACTGACATAGATCTCATTGCTAATGTTTGGTATTATTAAATGTTTCATTTTTGCCAATTGGGTGAGTTTGAAGTGGTATCTTACTTTTTTTAAAAAATGACATTTCGGGCAGCCTGGGTGGCTCAGTGGTTTAGCGCCACCTTTGGCCCAGGGTATGATCCTGGAGACGGGGGATTGAGTTCCATGTCAGGCTCCCTGCATGGAGCCTGCTTCTCCCTCTGCCTGTGTCTCTGCCTCTCTCTCTCTCTCTTTGTCTCTCATGAACAAATAAATAAATAAATTTAAAAAAATGACACTTCCCTTACTACTGGCAAGGTACATAATTTTTTTTACATATGTGTTCAGGTCTTTTGTAAATTGCCTATCAATATCCCTTTGCCATTATTCTGTTAAGTTTTGTCTTTGCCTAATTAATTTAGCATAGTGCTTTAGTATTCAGGGTACTAATTCTTGATTATTATCCAAGTAGGTGCTTTTGTTTTATTTTTGAACTTACAGTATGGTATCCTTTGTCATACAGAAATATCCATTATAATGGAGTTCAATTTAGCGGATCTTACCCTTCATGATTTATTTTTTTCATGTGTGATTTGGAGAAGAAATAAGTCTCCTACCCTGAAGAACTCTTATTAAAAAAAGTTTTAAGCCTTAACTTTAAAAAAAAATCCATTTGAGATTTTTTTTTTTTTTTTGGTATTTTTATTTGTGAATGATCTGAGATACTTACCTAATTAACTCTTTTCTGTCTGGAAGGCCAGTGGTTCCAGCAACATTCATTGAATATTCCATGCTTTTGCAACTGTTTGCTTTGCTATATTTATCATCTTTCAAATTTCCATGTGTGCATGAGCTTTTGAATCTGTTCTGTTGGTATTTTTACTTCCCTCTCTATTTTATACCACTGCCTTTTGTTGTGACAGGTTTATAAAAAAATCTTTGTCTAGTAGATTAGGCTCCCTTCTTTAAAATCATCTTTGCTATGTACACCTAGATGGCTCAGTGGTTGAGTGTCTGCCTTTGGCTCAGGACGTGATCCCTAGGGTTCAGGATCAAGTCCCGCATTGGGATCTCTGCGAGGAGCCTGCTTCTCCCTTTGCCTATGTCTCTGCCTCTCTCTGTGTCTCTCATGAATAAATAAATAAAATCTTTAAAAAAAAATTGCCTTGGCCATTCTTGGCTCTACTTTTCTTTAAAAAAAATTACTTTATTTGAGAGACAGAGAGAGTGCATGTGAGTGTGGCCGCAGAGGCAGAGGAGAGAGAGAAAAATCCCAAGCCGATTCCATACTGAGTGTGGAGCCAGATGTGTGGGGCTAAGTCTCACGACCCTTAGATCATGACTTGAACTGAAATCAGGAGTCAGATGCTCAGCTGACTGAGCTACCTGTGTGCCCTGGCTCAACTTTCCTATGTAAGTTTTAGGATCAGCTTGTCCAGGTACATGATAATTTTGATTAGAATTTACTTGAGTTCTTAAGCTAATTTAGGGGAATCTGACACTTTTATGATTTTGTGTCTTCACACTGTTTGCCTCTCTCTTTGGTCACTTGTTATGTCTTTAGTCATATCTTATACGTGTCATGAGCGTTTTGCTTCTTTTGTTATATACATTCCTAGGAGCTTTACAATTTTTCTTTGTATTGTGAGTGGTGTCTTTTTTTTTTAAAGATTTTATTATTTATTCATAAATAAATAAAACACACAGAGGCAGAGATATAGGCAGAGGGAGAAGCAGGTTCCCTGTGGGGAACCTGATGTGGGACTCAATTTCAGGACCCCGGGATCATGCCCTGAGCCAAAGGCAGACGCTCACCATTGAGCCACCCAGGTGCTCCATGAGTGGTGTCTTTTTAAACAGTTTATTTTCTGAGTGGGTATGTCTAAGCAGCCAGTGGTTTTATCTGGTTTTTGTCTCTAGGAACACTTATCTTGATCTTACTGGTTCAGTTTTTCATCATCCTCCACCTTTCTTTTCAGTAAACCCATATTTAGTGATTTCTGCTTTTGCATATTTCAGTCGTGTGGGTGTCCCTTCTTGTGCTCGACCATGAAAATAAGGTTGCTGTCGTTGCTTTTTGAGGCAGTTCAAACCATCCCACCCCCACTCCCCCTTGTTTTTTCAAAAGCAGCTCACTGCTGCTGCTATCTGTTCTCAGTTATGGTCAAAAGGAACTGCCAGATGAAATCAGAAGTTCACATTAGGCTATGTGCCTTGGAAACCACAGAGATCTCTCTCTGTCTCTCTGGAGCTGATTGTAGCATTGTCCTCCCCCCCCCCCCACCAAGTTCTAGCTTATTTCCTGCCTTTATTTCCCCTCTTCCATGTCTCTCTTTTTTTAGTTGCCTTCCTGTTTTCCATCCTTCCTCCCCACCCTCATTTTCTGTACCTGTCAGACCCTTTATTTTGTACTTTATGTGTTAACTCATTTGATTTTAGTCCTACTCTGTTGAGGATGGTAGGGCAGCCATGTTTCCTAGATGAGGAGTTGAGGGGGTCCCACAACTCTCTTTTGCTCTAATAAAAAAATTCTAGTGCATCTATTGAGATACTGTCTTTAGCTTCAAATAAATTCAAGTGTTTGTGTTGGGTGAAGGATGTTACTAGTCTTTTGTGAGTGTCTGTCTGCAAGAGCACTCAGAAGAAGGATCCACAGAGAGAGAACACAGACTTAAATATAAGTAGAAGTTCACTGTGTCAAATATATAAGCATTCTGTGAAGCCACGTAGCTACGTGCATGCTCTAGCAGGTGTCCATCCTGTCTTCAGAGTGCTGGTCTCCATATTCAGTGCAGCATGTGTTTCCTGCATGTGAGACAGTGTCCTGGCTTTGTAGGTGTTGGGAGCAACTGGATTTTGTTCTGTTCATGGCTCTGCTGCTGATTGGATTGTCGTTCTACACAGGCCATCTTACCTTAATGGGCATTAACCTCCTACATGATTATCCAGGTGGGAGATTAGTGGTCAAAAATCTCCAAGGATACAGCTGGGCCTGTAAATTAGTAACAACATGCAAACTCTTTTGAGATCATTTTTATCATAGTCCTGGCATCTGTTCTCACGCTTGTAAGGTCCTTTGTGGCGATTGTTCTTACATACTCATTCTTTCTGAGCGTTGTAACTGGGCTATCTGCTCATATGCTGTGTTTTTTCATGCATACCTCTCACAAACCATGTAGTTTCCAAGTAACAGTAATATTAGGTAATCCCTTTAATAGTACTCCATTCCTTCTTGTGAGATGGTTCCATGCTTTTGAGTTTTGTTTCTGTTTTTTTTTTTTTTTCTTTTTTTTCTGGAATTTGTGAACTATTTGTTTAATTAGATTTCCAGTCATGAGATGACTGTATCAAAGGGTTTAAATACTGTTTCTCTTGTTTTATTGTCAAATTGCCTTCTGTCTGGTTTAAAACACACTGTGATGCTGCCAACAGTGTTTGGATGATTCAGTTTAATTATGGCAAGCATTCATTCATCTAGGGAATGTTTATTGAGCCTGTGCTGGTGGAGTGTGTGTTAATTAAGGGAGCTGGATGACAAACATAACAAGTTATATTTTCTATTATAGAATTTCAGGGCAAGACAGCACAGAGCAGGGTGAGGGGATGCTAAGAGTGAAATGACCTGCATTTTAAATGTCAGCCACCTGAGAAGGGGGCATTTGTGCAAGGATTTGAGACATTGGGTTTGCTCTGTGTATTTTTCTTCCTTTCTTACTAATTTCAGAAGTTTATATAGAACCTCTGGATTCCTGTAATCTGCTTTTCTTTATTAGTGACAGTAAACAGTTTCCCACATGTTTTCTATGTTTGTATTTGATTATGGCAAAATTTGATATATTTTTAAAAGCACAAAAATTTCTATGTAATAAGACCATCCCTGACTTTACAGTCAAGAGTGGGGAAGTTGAATAAATAAGTTTGTGTTTACACAGGAGGAGACTCTTCTGGCCAGGGCTTTATTAAAAACCAAAAATTCCCTCTAATGCAAGATTTAAAAAAAAAGATGAAGAAGATTGCTTTTTCTCTAATTGTATTTCTATTTTAAGTAAAGGAAACATAGTACTTAATACTAAGATGTAAAGGAATAACAGCTGTTTGTTATTTTATAGGGTGACTGTTGGATCTGTATGGAACTCATGTCTACCTCGTTTGATAAGTTTTACAAATATGTATATAGTGTATTAGATGATGTTATTCCAGAAGAAATTTTAGGCAAAATCACTTTAGCAGTAAGTACCTGGCTTTCAAATTATTCCTTCTGTATATACTTATATAAAGATGCTTCTGGAGTTTTGAATGCACCTATCAGAATGTCCTTCACAGAATGTTGCTGACCTTCCTGGAAAATCATTTGTAATAGGAAGACAGACAAAAATCACTTCTGTGGGGTAATTAGTACAAGTCATAAGAACAGTTTTCAAAATAGGTTCTATGTAAAAACTACAATATTCTGTTCATTAAAATCACAATGAATCATAGTAGATTGTGCTATAAACAAAACCAGAAAAAGAAATTTTCTGTTCCTTTTAGCCCTGTTGTTCTAACTACTTTTAAATTGCTTATGTTCTCACCATTATCTCTAAATTAATCAGAATCACAGCAGTCTCCTTCAAGTCCTTTCATTGAAATTCTTAGGGTGTCTTTCCTGTGGTTTAAGATTTGAGTGGTCCACTCTAAGCTATTGAAAGTTTTGACTGGCAGTTTCAGTAACCAACATTGCTGCTGATTTGGCCAATTCACTTTTACCAGAGTACCAAAAACAAAAGAGGTACTCTTTTACACACGTGTTTGTAGTTTTCAAAGTGAATTCCTGATCGTTTTTCTTCCTCTGAATCTTTTAGTTGCAAAGGTTGTTCACAAAAATCCTTTCAAAGGAGTAAAATTAGTAAGATTCTTAGAAAGCCCTGAGACTGAGCTAATGACATTGAGATAGGTTAGTGGATGTATAAGCTAAGTTTTATAGGAAGCCGTAAAGTAGAAATTCTGGTTGCATGCAAGTTCCTGCCTCTTTGTTCTTACATCCTTCACCTCCAGTATAGTCTGCTGATTGTCAGTTGATCCTGTTTGATCATTAAGGGTTAATATAAAAATACATAGGCAGTTTCTGAACTGTATTTTAGTTGTGAAACGTGTGTGTGTGTGTGTGTGTGTGTGTATATATATATATAACTGGAATTTAAAAAATCAGATTAAAGTCATAATGGTCTTAAGATTTATGTTAATATTTTAATTTATTTAGCCAGATTGGTACATAAATTTAAATATCTTATGAGCTTAACATTACAGTATATACCCTTTCATATGATATAAAATGAAACTGAGTAATTCTAGAAACTTGTTTATTCTTGGGAAGATATATGACATTTTATATTGATCAATTTTGTCTTCTCTCTCTGTCCGGTATCCCAAACCCAGTATTATCTTGGAACTTTTACTATTCATGATAATTATAATGCAACAATAGTAGATTAATGACAGTAGCTAATGGTTATTGAATGTTTACTTGCATCAGGCTAAGATCTTATGACATTTTATCTTCATAGCAACTCTCTGTGGTGAATAGTAACCCCTTTTACAGATGACAGATCTGGAGCATGGAGAGGTTAAGTAATTAATTTGCTTTGAACTTCATACAGTTGTAGGTAGCAAATGATTTAAGCTCAGGCAACCTGATCCCAGAATCCTGTTTCTTTTTTTTTGTTTGTTTGTTTTAAGATTTTATTTATTCATGAGAGACACAGAGTGAGAGAGGCAGAGACACAGGTAGAGGGAGTAGCAGGCTCCCTCCAGGAAGCCTGACGTGGGACTCGATCCCGGGTCTCCAGGATCATGGCCTGGACTGAAGGCGGCACTAAACCGCTGAGCCACCTGGGCTGCCCCAGAATCCTGTTTCTAACCAGGGTGATCATGAAGTTAGAAATCATAGACAAAATTATTTTATTGTGTATTGCAGTAAGTGTAATGTAGACACACAAATAAATCATTTGTTACATATTTGCCTATATTTCTAGACGCGGTGATCATCCTTTCTATTAAGCATAACATTTAAAATTACTTTGTGTTAAACCTCTTTTTGCTAATTAATGACCCAAAGAACACAAAAGGCCTTAGCTACTTGAAAAATTACGAGTTCAGCATTCCTGACACCCAGCAGCTTGATGGAGCAGAGACTTGACCATTTGATAGCAAAGGGTTGGCTTGTTCTTCATTTCTCTTTGAGATTGTAGAAATTTTGATTCAAGCCCCTGTTCCCTATATTTCTGAAGAAATGCCTAATTTCTGGCCGCGAGCAGAGATTAAACAATGTAAATTCTGCAGAAATTCCCATAGTTGTTGAACAGATACTTTGCCAAAATTACTTTGAAGACTCAGCACAGAGTGAAGGTGAATGAATAATTATGAGAAACTGAGGAAATTTGGAAAGACTTGGGATCCCTGGGTGGCGCAGTGGTTTAGCGCCGGTCTTTGGCCCAGGGCGTGATCCTGGAGACCCGGGATCGAATCCCACGTCAGGCTCCCGGTGCATGGAGCCTGCTTCTCCCTCTGCCTGTGTCTCTGCCTCTCTCTCTCTCTCTGTGACTGTCATAAATAAATTTAAAAAAAAAAATTAAAAAAAAAAAGACTTAGCTGATAGAATTGATAATGGAACCAGACTGTGGACTCTTTTGTACTGAATTACTTCCATTCTGGAAAAATTTGAAGATGCAAGTAATGTACAACTTTGTAATGACTTATTAAAAAATTATAAATTATTGGGTTCTTTTTAGCTGTCAGGTAATAGCATGTAAAAACAACTGCATTTTCAGATCTAAAATAATCATTTAGTGTCTTTAGTTAACATAAAAATGGACAGAATATTGAAATAATTAAGCTTACAAGAATGTGAACGGCTATAAGGCTGTATAACCTATGATGAACTGTGTGCTGTGTGATTAAAGGATATTGGTTGTTTATCCTGTCTTTGCTTTTTGTCCTTAGACTGTGAAAGCACTAAACCACTTAAAAGAAAACTTGAAAATCATTCACAGAGGTGGGTATGAGTTATTTTTTATAGGTTGGAAATTAATATTTTTCCTTAAAAAAGAGATTAATATTTTTTATTAATAGGAAAACATTATTGAAAATTATAATGTCCCTGTGTACGCTTTTCTGATATATTTCTATTTTTAGCAAAACATATGTACCCTGACACTATTACTATTTTTTTCTCCGTAAAACTTTGTTATTAATTTAGGGTATTTTTCCTTTGAGATTCTATAAATTTCAGCTTAACTTGTTAGTATATCAAGTTTACAAATTGAAATAGATTTTGCCGCAAGGTTTTTATTACTCTTAGTTGAAAAATAATTATTTATTTGCTTAATAGATAATGTTTCTCTTTGTATACAAATGTGCACGAAGGTGGTCCTGGGGACATTCAAAGAGTCTGGAGGGTGATACCTTGAGCATTTTAGAGACAGGTGTTTCTTCTTTACTTCAGAGGACATTTAGCAAATAGAGATGCTTTAATTATTATTGTACATTGAAATTCCTCTAAAGCATTTGTACTTGTGAGAACAGTGATCTTGGCCTTGTTAGGCACAGGTCCAAATGTCAGGATTTGATGTAGATTTATTGGAAGTCAATGGGAATCACGAAATTAAACAGCTAATAGATTAAATAGTTGCTGTCTTTCTTGCTCTGCTAGACTCAGGGCAGTGGGGTGGTGGCTTTGAAGAGGTTTGCAGGTTCCTGGTCCTCAAGATACTTGTAATGGGTAAACCCAAGACCATATGTGACAGTGCGAGACTCAGCCTGACAATAAATAGGGCAGAAAGTAAAAGGTTATATTCGCAGAAGTGAAAAGACTCACATTCTAGGAAACATGATTTCTAGTGGTTACAGAAATTAGTAATTGGCACATTTAAGTAGTTTTAGTTTGGGGTTGACTCAGGACTACTGAAATGAGTTAACCTTGAACATCATAATATTTCACTTAATTTTACTTTGCCCTGATGCTTGTTAAAAATCATTTTAGGTGGGCTTATTTTTCTCTTTTGGCTTAAAGTCATGTAGAGTTAGGCCTATAAACAAAATGATTTTGTTCTTCTTGTAGTTCATTGCATTCTTGTTTTGGGATTTTCCTTCCTTTTTGGCTGTGTTTTGCACTTATGAGAGTAGTATCACCTTTAGGGCATTTACAGTTACCTTAGAGATACTTGCCAATCACAGTAAAGCACTAAGACAGTGACCGAGGAGTAGCTGAATAAAACGGAAAAGCTTCAAAAATAACTTGGGTTTTTCTATTAGTAAAATAAAAACAATGAGTTTATAGCAGTCTTATTTTTTTAAGACTTTTTTTTTAAATTCATTTGAGAGGGAGAGAGCATTCACCAGAGATGGGAGGGGAGGAGGGAAAAGGAGAAGTAGACTCCCTGCTGAGCAGGGAGCCCTGACATGGGACTCAATCCCAGGACTCTGAGTTCCTGACCTGAGCCAAGGCAGATGTTTAACCAACTGAGCCACCCAGGCGCCCCAATATAGCAGTCTTTTTTATTAGGATCAGTTAGCTCTTTTGCTACAGTGAAGAGTGCTTTTGATCATGAGTTACTGCCTTAAAGTTAACTGCCTTAAACTTCAAGGAAATTGATTATCTGTCCTAACAAGTCCAAGGATGGGGTAGTTCTAAGGACAGTATGTTCAGGGCTCAAGCACCCTTCTTTTGGCTCCATCCTCAGGGTGATAACTACCAAAGCAAGTCCCCAGTGTCACATGTAGACATGATACCTCTTGGAGAAGCTCTTCCTCTTCCTGTGTGGCTGTCATAGGAGCTGGGACATCTTCTGTACATTGCTCTGATGTATTCTCTTGCCTCATTCACTAGAGTTGCTTCATGCCCTTACCCTAAACTGGTTCTGGGCAAGGAGCATCAGGCTACCCTGATAATTGGACCAGCCAGTCCCTCATTTGGAGAGGTATGGTTACAGCTACAGAGAAGAAAGGGGATACTTCCATAAAAGCAAATACAGGTTCTACTGGAAGGGGTGGGGTGGGTGGTAGGATAGATAAGCATCCCTGTCAGTGATGGCAGGAGACCTTTTCAGGTTTTTTTGTACATCCCCTTCTGAGTTACAGATATTTTTGTATCTTGTATCTATTTGTATCCTTTTTATTCACTGATCCATGCTAGTGACAATGAAATGGATAGAAGCATTGAGACCGGGTTAGAGGATTCATGAGCAAAGAGAGAGAATGGGCCAGACAGTGGATTAACACATAGTGGCATTGAGTTCATTGTCAGTGAAGAAGGGATGAAAGCCTAGGGCCCAATTTATCAAGACTATAAAACCTTGGAGAAGCAAATGGAAGGGATTCGGCTTTCTCAAATTGACAGGAAAGCAAGCACACACACTTTGGAAGGGGTGAAAATGAATCTGGTTTCTCAAGGCCAACTGGAAGAAAGGGCTGGTTGGGGAAACCTGATGAAGACATCTAATGTCAGAAAAATCTCTCTCAAGGAGAAATAATTATTAAATGGATGGATTTATTGAATACAAATAAAGGTCTGATACTGTATTATGAGGTCTTTTAATTTCCAGAGCGCTATGGATTAGCAATTATTTTCATTTTGTAGATGACGAAATTGTGATTGCTGAGTCAAAGTCAAGGAGCTTGCCCCAGGTCACGCTGTGGATTTGGGACCCAGGTTTTGAACCTTTGCTTCTCTGATCCCAAAGCTGTGGTCTTGTAGATGTACTGGATTGGATACTTTCCTGAGTTAGATAAAACTCAACTTTAAATTGTGGATGTATAATTTGTACAGTTTGCATTTAGGTGGCTAGTCTTTGATCTACTCTAAAGTAGCTTGGTATACTCTTGTAGATTAAATTCATTGTTCATATTTTGGCCAGTAAGTAATGAATTTGAAGCAAGTAAATGAATATAAATCTTTCCATGAAAACAAAGCATTATAGAATGCTTACATTTATTGTGTAGCATTTTTGATACTGAGTTTTTAAACATTGGTGTTCAGACCACTGTTTTCTCATTTTTCCTCTTCTTTTATATCTGAATTTTTAAGGACCTGATCACTTATCTAGTGTAAGGTTTTTTTGGTATTTTTGCTTAACGTGCTTCAGAATGTAGCTCATTTCATCGATCACTTGTACTTGATATGACATTTCTCTCTCTCTTACAGATATCAAACCTTCCAATATTCTTCTGGACAGGAGTGGGAATATTAAGCTCTGTGACTTTGGCATCAGTGGACAGCTGGTGGACTCCATTGCCAAGACAAGAGATGCCGGGTGTAGGCCATATATGGCAGTAAGTGCAAAGGCCAGACTTTCCTGGTTGGTAGTCTTTGCCCAGAGAGCCCGTGCCCTTTGGTGCTTTCCTTCTAAGGGGTCTACCACTGGTCATGCAGTTTCAGCATACTAAATATTTTCCTCTATCCTAAAAACCAAACTCAGGTTCTAACTTCTCTGTGAAACTCTGATATTACACCAGTGAACTCCTGTTTCATTGTATTTCTCTATTCCACTCATCCACCAGATGGTTGGTTAATTTTCAGAAGGCCTCTGTGTTTCCAATACTCCACATGCTCACTCAACTGTTGTAGATAACATTGTAAGATCATGGATACTACGGATCATGCGTCCACATCACCCATTAACACATGGATAATGTGGCCTATAGGCCAGTCACTGATGCTTCTTTTCCAGTTGGAGAAGAATGGGAGACTGGAGTTTCCAGGGTTCCTAGTGAAATTAGTATGTCTTACAGAATCTGAGGCTATGTTCTGAATATTGTTGGTCCCTTCCTTAGAGGTGGATGAAGCATACTGACAGATTCAAGGGTGGAGATCTTGGGTATTTGCCAACCTAGAGCCTGTTTCCCCTCAGAGAGATAGACTTACCCTAGCCTTCTACACGTCATACTCCTCTTACCCCAGCACGTACACATATGCTGTTCCAACAGGCTGGATTTTGATCTGTATTTAGAAATTTAGTGTCTACATTTTAAGCGCTTCCCCTAGATGTTGGTGTCTTACTTAATGTGGCTGTGATTCTTTGGGGACTAGTACACAGCTCTTAAGTGGTGATGAATAGGCTGTGCAGACTATTGAGGCATTCCTGTCAGTAGTTTTGGCTGTGGTCTTTATGGATTTGTGTGTGCTTGTGCGTGTGTGTATGTTTGTACAAAAAGAAACTTTCATATGAAGTTTGGGCTTTGAGGATGTTGACTGTCCAGGCAGATTATTGGGAAAATTTGGAAGGCCTTGGGCTCATCATGATAATTAGGGTTAAATGGAACAACAATTTCAAAAGTAAGAAATAAAAATGTTATACATGCAGCATTTGGGAAGTCATATAATTTACACATTTAGTAAATGTACCCTGAGAATGAACTAGAAGCTGTTACCTGGACTTGTAGGGCTTATCACAGTATTAAGGGTGACCAGGTGTTTGTGCAGTGGGACATTAACTAAGAATTATGTTTGATTTATGCAGGGTTTTTAAGATATATATACGTATATATATATTTAAGATATATATAATATATCTACATTGTATATATATTTTAATATATATTTAAATATATATTAAGACATATATTATATATAAATAAATATATATATATATATATATTTATGTTTATTTGAGACAGAGTGAGAGAGCATGAGCAGAGGCAGAGAGAGAGGGAGAAGCAGGCACCCCACTGAGCAGGGAGCCTAATAGGGAACTCAGTCCCAGAACCTTGAGATCATGACTTGAGTTGAAGGCAGGTGTTCCACTGACTGAGCCACCCAGGCGTCCCTGATTTATGCAGGTTTAAAAAATATAATTGCAGACCAACTAGAGCTGAATATTTGAATTCAGGTAACTTTTAAGAAAGAAGTAGACTTTCAATTTTTATGTAGAAATAAGGTTCACAGGCCCAGGTGGTATAGGGCTTTTCTTTCCCTGCTAATCTTCTTCAACCTTGGAATCAACCTCTAATCTTTACTGAACTAAATGAAATGCTTCTGTCCATTCTAGTCTTTATGAGACCTATAGATGGATAAGAGTGATTGGCATTCATTTTATTACCAGCCTTGTGGTGGCTTGACTCTTCTTGATGTACCTTGACAGAAAACACAGAAATGTATCTTGTCTTTTATTTAAGATTTATTATTTGTCTTTAGTCTATAGGAATTGTAATATTTCTTTTGGATTATTTAACATAATGATGTATAAATAATGTAGAGTTGAAACACAAGTGTTTGCATAAACCAATTGCCAATGTTAACGTTTTGGGACCTTCCCACCTCCCTCATCGAGGTGTGTGTGTATAAACACAGAGATGTATGTGTCTGTATGTGTTCTGTGCCATGTGAAAGTAAGTTGCAAATATCACGAATGTCATTCTAAACACTTGTGTTTCTCCCATAAAAAAGGGCACTCTTCTACATAACTACAATACCATCACCACACCTAAAACAGAAACTTAAAATAATTACAAGAATTTCATGACATCACCTTGTTCACACACAGATTTCCCAAGAATGTCCCACATTCTGGATTTGTCTGATTATTGTTCCCTCATGAATAATGTCAGGCTATGAATTTTTTTCAGCATGGATATTTCATAGATGATGGGTACTTCGTATTGCATCACATCACAAAACACATCCTGTTAGGTTATTTCATTAATGGTAATGCTTATACAGATGATTTTTTTTTCTTTTAAGCAGTTGAGACATTTGTAAAATAGAAACTCATTTTCTCACAGTTTTTTCTTTGTTCCTCTTCTCCAGATGAGTAATTGATGGTCTTTTCATTCTCAAAGGATTCCTTCACCCACTAGCCTCACATGCTTCCCCTCTGCAGTCCTCCAACACATGAAGAAACTTCTAAAAAGTTACACCAGCTTCCCTGTCTTTGAGGAGCATTTCCTCTTGTACCTCTTCTTCTGTGCTAGGAGCCCATCCATATTAGTTTGTAAGATACTTAGTCTTAATTAATAGTTGAAGTAAGAACTCATTTCATAGCAATTCTTTCTAAAATATGTCAATTCACTTATCTTGGGGATTTCTCAGACCCTGGCTTAATCTCCTCTTAAAATACATATAGCCTATTAGGCCTGAAAATCTGACCAAGCTATAGCTCATCAACATCAAGAAATTGTTGATGTTTGTGTCCTCCTTTGATCTCTATTCAACAAATTTGGAAATATACATTCATTCACCTGTAATCTGTTTCTCTCTTTGGTTTCAAAAAACTGGATTCTTCAGGATATAATTTTCATTTTTACACTTGTATATAAGACTAAAACAATGGTGGTCACTTTTTTTCTCTTTGGAAGGCCATTCAGGTAAAATGTTTGGTAAAGAACTTATTAACCAGTCCCTATAAGAGTTTTTTCTTTTCTTTTTTTTTTTTTTTTTTTTTAAGATTTTGTTTATTTATTCATGAGAGACACACAGAGAGAAGCAGAGACATAGGCAGAGGGAGAAGCAGGCTCCCTGTTGGGGAGCCCAATGTGAGTTTCGATCCTGGGACCCCAGGATCACGACCTGAGCCAAAGGCAGATGTTTAACCATTGAGCACCCGGGTGCCCCTATAAGACTTATTTTTGTTGAGAGGCTTCTCTTACAAACTCTGTCTCTTTGCTTGTTACGAGTCTGTTCAGATTTTCTAGTTCTTCTGAGTCAGTTTTGGTAATTTGTGTGCTTTGAAGAATTTTTCTATTCCATCCGGGTTATCTGACTTTGTCTTGTAAGGTCAATGTCTGTGCTTCCTCAGGTAGTTTCTTGTTCCTGTTCATTTCTCCAGTGAATGGGTCATACTTTCTAGTTTCTTTGCATGCTTTGTATTTGTTTGTGTGTGTGAGAAACAGACATTTTGGGTGTTAGAATGTGGTGATTCTGGGGGTGCTTGGGCTCAGTTGGTTGAGCAATCGACTCTTGGTTTCAGCTCAGGCCATGATCGCAGGGTCATGAGAGCGAGCCCCTTAAGTTTGCTTGAGATTCTCCCTCTAATCTCTCTATTGAGATTCTCAAATAAATAAAATGTGATTTTGGAACTAAATTGTAATTTTGGAAATAAAATGTGACGATTCTTTCCTTCTCTTTGTGGTTTGTTTGGCTCCTTTCTGTGAGATGTTAGCTGTTTCTCTAGTGATTTTTTCCTCCAACAGTCTTGTTTTTAGAGGCTGTATTCTTACCCCTATGTGGTCTCTGATGTCTGTTTTCTTAGCTTGTGTTCAGCTAGTGTTTTGACAGTTTTGTTTTTAGTTTCCCTAGGTTTTTTTGGGTACCAGGACCTAAAAAGAAAAAAAAAAAACATGAACAAAACAAAAGGAAAAAAAAACACCAAATATTCTAGTCTTTGCAGATTGGCTATGCTTGGGCACTCCTGCTTGACTCAACTGTTTACAAATCTGCCTTAACCTCTGGTTCTCTAATATATCTCTGTCTTCATCTTTCACACTAGCCATCCGTGGGTCATTCATTTATGACGTTTTCGAGAAACGTCCTCTGATTTTCTGCCTTGAGTGAGTTCCAAGTTAGGCAGAAGAGGAGCGGGTGCGCCACCACCTATTCTTCATTGCCCTCAGACAAGTTGGAACAAACACAATTCTTAATGCTCTGTTTCCTCTTCCCTCTGGGCCCAGGGTCTGGGGTCCGACCCCGGGAACGCTGGCTACCATCTTCAAGACTGTTGTTGAGCTGGAGCAGGGATTGGGATGAGGTCAAGTCAAAATGCTGCAAATGTTACTTACCACTTTTAAGTTGGCTTTTTCTTGATTCACTGTTTGCTTGGTTGTTAGAAACTTCTGTTTTTTTTTTTTTTTTTAGATTTCTGACAGAGTTGGCTATGACAGTTTTTTTCCTTAGTTTTTTCATGTTTCTTTGGAGGGATGGTCCCTTGGAGTTACCTCTTCTGCTTTTTTTGCTGTGTCATTCTATATATCACTTTTAATGAAGGTAGTATGGCTTCACACTAATCCTGTTCAAATAACTGGGAGATAGTGTACGAAGTGGCTTTTTAAAAATTTTATCTCTGGATGACATGTTACAGGTTTGTCAAGAAAACTTTGTAGAGCCAGATAACTGGGAGCCACCATGTGCCATTTTTAGTGGTATAGATACATTGTGTGTATCAGCACAGGAATTAAAAGTACTGAGAAAAATCTCAATAAGGAACAACTTTTCTAAATCTAGCATTCCCCAAATATTCGTCAGTGAGATCCACTTCATATTGTGGCATGTGTATTAATAACTGGAAGAGATTCTAGTCTATGGAAAACAGTTTATTCAGTAGTATCATAAATGCTGTAAC